GCTATAATCATAACTTCTTAATATTAAGAGAGTTGTTTTGTCTTTTCAACATCAGATTAACTAAGTTTAGTATATTATTTAAAAAATATTTATTCAGATGGATTTATTAATTACATATCATATTAATTAAATACCTCATTCAGCAAAGATATTTATAAACTTATTAGACTATTATTTGTTGTAAAAAGGAATTCTATTTCTATTTAAAATTAAAAGTTTAAAATTTAATTAATAACTGGCTTGTAATTGGATTCTAATTTTGTTGCAAAATCTTCTGAACTTGCTTCATTAACACTAAATTCAAAAAGAGATTGTAAATCATAATTATCCCTAAAATAAATTGCTTATGAAAATGAAACCTAAATATAATATTTAATATATGTTTAATTTAAGAATTAGACTATCATATAAGGAGATTCAAAGTATTAACATTCAGTGTAACTATTAGTTTAGTCTTAACACTTATAATCAATTTCAATTTTACAATTAGAAGAACAACCATCTACATTAATAATATTTTAATCATCACATTCTTCATCATAAGATTTTATTCCACTTCCACAACCATCATAACAAGTATTTTAAATCAATTAAAAATATTATTAACACTCTAAACAGATTCCTTCTTCACAATTTAAACAATATTTAGGACAAGAATATTCACAATTAAAACATCCATCAAATTATATATTATTTCCATCATCACATTATTCTTTTTATTATTTTATTCCATCACCACAAATTGAATAGCAAATACCATCAATATTAATTTCTCCATTTATACAATTATCATGACATATTCCATTAATACATTTCTAACACTCTGTTAAACATGCTAATTAACATTCATTATTAATTTCAACATAAGGTTACTCACAAATAAGACATTCTTTTGAATTTATACAAATTTAACAATTTTCTGGACAAACAAATTTACAATTTATACAATCATTTAAATTTGAATCACATTCTTCTTTAGATAAAATAGCTACTTAATTATCTCCGCAAATTTATTGACATATTCCATTAATAAGTTACCATCCTTAAATACAAGAAAAGCAATATGAATTCTAACATTAAAGACATTAAATTTGACAACTATCATTACATTTATAGCATCCAATTTCAATTAGACTCAATTGTAGTTCATCTTTAAATAAAAGTGCTCCTTTTGTAATTTAAGTAATACATAAATTATTTAATAGAAAATAATCAACCAAACATTTTTTACATTTTCCGTATTCACAAATTTCACAATATTAGGGACATTAAAATACTATATTTTACTATTTAATTCCAGATATTTCAAGATTATATGTAATGTCATAATCATCACAATAAGTAACATCAGAAATCTGATTTTCATTTATATCTGATCTAATACAACTTATAAATCTAAATTATGTTTGAAATTCCAAACATTTACCATTTATTAATTCATATGTTGGACTACATTATTAACAAACTCCAAAATTACATTCTTAACAATTTAATATACATTAGAAATTACAATTATAACATCCATCATTAGGAATGTTATTTCCATCATCACATTATTCATCCTCTTGAACTTTACCATCTCCACAAATGACAATTTCAGTTTCCTCTATAAAATATGAAAATTAATTATAATCAACTTAAATTTAATCTTATGGTAAATTATCATAATTTCGATTACATATTCCATTAGAATAATGATATCCTAAGTCGCATGTCTAACATTAACCAAATTTACAATTTTGACAATTCTTAGGACATGAAAACTGACACTCATGACATCCATCATAAGGGATGTCATTGCCATCATCACATGACTCATTTCCTGTTATTATTTTATCTCCGCAAGATGGTTCACAATTTTTATTTAAACTATTATAATCCCATCTAGTATCACACATCAAACATTCTCCTTTTACACAAAATGTACACCCTTCCAAACATGATTCTTACTTAGCAAAACAACCATCAAATGGTACTAAATTATCATCAATACATTAAATTAAGTTTATTGGCCCTCGAAGAATGACTGATAATTCACGAATGCCCACTGTACCATCTACGCTATATATTTATAATTTAATTTGATTTTTAGTATCATCAATTACCCATGTTCTATAATCAACCTACTTTTTCTCACTTATAAGTCCATATTTCCATTCATCATTGATGTAAACTCTAACTGTTATGGGCATAGTTGAAAGATATTCAATTCTAAATTGTATTATTAAGGAAAGATGATCTGGTAGTGTAAGATAAGTTATTGCAGAATCCCATTGATTTAAGACAAGCATTTTAAGTTAAACTCTAATTACTTTACATACTTACAATCATTGGTCTATAATGTAAAAGTGGGAAACTTATTCTTAATCCAACCTTCAAGACCATCATCAAGGTTCTGTAGTTGAAAAAATGATTGCCATAATATCCACATGATACAATCAGTTGTAGAATCTAAACAAAACTGGCATCCTAAGTAACATTCATATAAAGTTATAGAGAAATTAGTAAGTCCCCAAAAGTTCTTAAGATTTTAAAATAACAAATACAGTGGTTGAACAATCTGAGTAGAATTCTACAATGATTGAATTTAATGTATGTAGAGGGAAATCATTATATTATGAAGAACTATAGTCTGAACCAGTATCAGCACATATATTTGATCCTGTATTATCTGTAAAATACCAAGATTAAGTCCATTAATCTACAATTATATAAAAAAGCTATGAACTTGGCCAATCATCAATTCTTAAGATATATTAATATTAAAAAACTTCCAAAAGTTGATATCTATACGCACTTTATAATGAGGTGGCAGCATGAAATATTTCATTATTTAAGTTTTTGTTGACATATAACATCCAAATTTCTGATATCCCCCAAAAATTAAGTTTCCTCCACAATCGTATGTATGAACAGTAGCTCCATTGTAAGGGTTTTTAATTAACCACCCTAAATGAATATGATAGTCTTTACCTTCGTCACCAGAAATTGATGAAGTCACAAAATGCTAAAGATAATACGCTTCAACAATTATTCCTAAAAACTGAAAATGGAAGAACCAAATAAACATTAAATAATTATTAATGTATGAAATACTAATAATAAGTCTGATATCATCAATGGTATATGACAAAACAAACTGAAATGCTTGTAATTCTAAATGATAATAATTAACCAAAAGTATTGTCATTGATTATACATATTTTATCCTAAAGGTTTGATTTCAATTACTGTAACAGAATTCTTAGATTAAAATTTTTCATAGTTTTTATCAAATAACCAAGTTTTTATATTATGTTTTATATTACATATTTACTTGCATTTTAGTGTAGAATTATAAAAATATCAATTTTCAAATGAAAACGTGTAAAAATGTGTGAAAAAATTCATATACAAAATCAAAAATAAGGAGAATTTATATAAATTAATTGATGTTAAATATATATGAAATTCTTAAGCTATGAGAATGTTTACATTTATATCATTAATACACTTTAGAAGTATGAATTTTCATTTAATATATTTTAGGAATGATTAGCATGTGATTATTAATTTTATATCAATAAATAAAGCCGATAGGATAAATTTTTATTGATTAATTAAAGAATATTCTTTGTAGTTTATTGATATCAGAAATAGAATCACTTCAAATTTAATTGTTTGATAAGTTTCTTATTCTTTTTCAAATAAACATGTAAAAATATTGATAATTATTAATCAATACATTTCTATTATATGAAGAATGAAAATATAGATTTAAAGTATAATATGTGGGAAATTTTATATAAATCTGTTTTAATTAAGATTTTAAAGTGTGCATCATTTGTAATTATTCATTAATTTTTCCCTTTTTTGACAAAAATTAATTATACATTAATTCAATTTTATCTTAGCCAGATTTTTCTTCGCTATGAAATAATGGTGTTATTATTCTGCCAGTGATTTTCAGATTATTAAATTAAAAGAAAAATTAATCATTTCTTTTTAAACTATAATTTTAATCTTGCTTCATTTAAATTATTGAATTAAGAACTTGTTAGACCAATATTTATCTGCTAATAATCAATTAGACAAATATAAATGTAACTTAACAATTTCAATTGAGATTTAAATAATTACATAATTTAAATAATGATCATAGAATATTATTTCCAAACTGATTAATTGAATCGATTAATCTAAATTTAAGGTTGATGTTTTCCTTCTGAAAATTTTAATGAATAACCGAAATTTTACTAAAACAATAGAATGTAAAATTATTTAACATAATTCTCTTTTATTTTTTTATTTGATTTATTTTAACTCAATAATATTTTTAAATCAGCGTCAATTTAAGAAAATAATAATTATTCTATTTTCTAAATCTTTTCTCTAAAATTCGCATGAAAGTAACGATAATAAATGTTGCCCATTAATAAGACTCATTGTGAATTCATTTGTTTTAATCATTAACTAAGATTTTCTTATTTTTCCAATAATTAAGATTTGATTCGAAAATTAGTTGTGTAGTTATTCATCTATTTTTTACAAAAATCATTTTCTCATGAGCTTATTATAATAGAGACTATTTGATTTCAAACTGAACGAAATTTCTATGAATTAAGAAAGTAGTATTGAACTATCAATAGATCGAATTCTATACATATAAAATAATTATTTTTCAAGCATTTTATATGAAATTCTAATAATTTCAATTATAATTATTAAACTGGCAATTTTTAATGGAAATTCTAATGAAATCTTGATAAATTCATATATTATGTTATTATTTATATAATTTTTAATAATAAATCTGATTCTCAATTAGTTAAAATCAACTAATGGACTTTTTTGGTTTTCTATTAAAATGTATATATTATTGAATTAAAAAATTAATTCTAAAGAATAAAGTCTTTTAATTTATTTTTTGCATAGACTATCAGTATTGAATGGAATACTTGTAATGATTCCATTACTTAAAAATGTTGTTCATTAAAATTATAAAATTTTGTAAATAAAAATCAGATGAAATGGATGAATCGGTTTTATATACCCATTTCTTAAAGGATTATTGGTACTGATGCTTACATTGGAGGAGGTCCACAAATCAAATATCTTTAATAATCCAAATTTTTCCCCAAAAATTTATCAAACATTTATTTACTAAATCTCTCTTCAATAGTTTCTATTCCTTCAATTTTATCTTTTATTTTAATGATCAATCTCAAAAATGGTTTTTCTAAATATTTTTATAATTAAATTATTGGAAATAAAATATCAGATCCAATTAATTCTGTTTTATTAGCAGCAGCAAAAAATAACGTGATATGAATGTTTGGATTGAATTAACAATCATAAGGATTTAAATTATCAGCAGTTTACTTCCCAAACTTATTTAAGGCAATTTAGTAGATGACAGTTTTTAGAAGAAAATCTAATAAATCTAAAAATGGAAATATTCCAGTTCCTCCACAAATAATAACAATTTTGCCACTATTTGGTATACCATGAGGTGGTCCATAAGGTCCCTAAATATCATACATTTCATCTTTATGATTATGAATATATTAAGAGAAACCATTTTTAGATTCATAATATTTAATTATTAGAGGTAATTCCTTCAAGTATTTTGGCTATTAAGGAGCTTTGGCTTACTATTTTGTTGTATAGATATAGTCAATATATTTAACAAGTTCTTTTCTATAAGCAACATTCTCAGGAGCCATAGAAGCAATACATGTATATTGTCTAATTGGTGTTTTTTTAGATGAACTCGATTATATTTGAAAATACTTACCAAATGAATGAATAGTTGTGAATTGAGATATTATATTATATTTAGGATTAGTGAATCCAAAATAGCTTGTTTTATCATTTAATTTTGTTATAGTTTCTAATTTCCACAATGTACTAGTATTTTCATCAATAGGAATTGTGAATTTAATAGTATTTAATGATCCAATTACATGATTTTTCAATAATACAACAGCATTTTTAGAATGAGGATACTATTTGGCTGTTCCATCTTCTAATCCACAACCACCGTAAATAAATCTCGATACTTCTCTACCTTTAACACTTTCCCAAATATATTAACCCCCTGGATGTGAAAATCCTGTTAAATCAATGATTTCATCATTAAAAATCAACCAAAGTTTATTCTGAAATTCATTATATATATGTGATTATTCTAATTGATTAAAAATATAATATACCATTCTATTCAATATATTAAATTAATAATGAATCTTATAATGTTCCAGAGTGTTCTTTTGGTAGTTAATTCTGTTTTTTAAGTATTAAATATATCATTCCATTTTGATAAAACATTTCAAAAATGATTCTCCACAAAAAAATAAACCCATACACACACCAAAAAGATATTATATCGCCTTTCCCATTTTCTTTCTAATTTTGATAAGTCATATAATATCCAAATCCTAATTGGATTTTCCCAAGAAGATAAATTGTGTATCCCAAATAAATATGCATTAAGGATTTTATTTTTAGATGTGTTTAAGTGTTCACTGATTGAATACAAAACTTAATTATAACGCCTCCTAACATTTGAAAAATCATCAAGCCCAAAAATGTATATCCAATTATATTATGTAATCCCTATAGATTTTGGTTCCCATTAAGAGGAGGAGTATTTCCTGAAAATATCATAAATAGCTCTGCAATGATTGAAGGTAAAACCACAATACTCATTATGATAGCATGAATATCATATTTGTTTTTTAACAGAATACCATATCTATTTGCAATTATCCCAAGATCAACTAAAATTGCCCATCCGATAAAATTAGTATATTAATGGAAGTAAAAAAGGACATATTTATCATTACTTTAATCTTCCTAATAGTTGACATCATAAGGATCTTACTAGCTTCTAAATGATTCTTCTAGAAATGAATTTTATGGATATTAATTGTGCTCGCTTTAACAATAAGCCTTCTTTATTATAAATGCAAATAACAGCAAGTTAGTCAACATTGTATATTATTATTTAATTAGTTTATATTTTCTCTTTAATATTGTTATAAAAGAAAAATGATGTCATATAATGTCATCAAATAGGCTTGGTACATTTTAAAAGTCCATAGTCAAATTACGTAATCAAGAATTTTATAATACTAACGATAATTTTATATTATTATTTATAAACTAATTTGCATAACCATATGTGAATAAAAAATAATTATATTTTAAATTCTTTGGTTCCAAATGATGATATAAACCAATGAATTAAATCTTTAAAGAATTTAATCAAAATATGATGTTTCATAATATCAAACACTAAAAACAATCTAATGATGTCAATTATTAATTGAATCAAAATAACTGCTACAAAAAATATTATGGATTGATTATGGAAATATTCTTTTACATTTTAGTACCCCAATTTATCAATAAAAATTTCTAATCAGTAAGAATTTCTTTCAAGGTCTTTTTATTAAATAAGGTATTAAGATTTATTAAATGAGCTTCAAATTTTAGTAAATTACAATCTAAAATAATAAAATACGAATAGATTAAATAGAGAGTGAATGAAATCAAAAAAAACCTAAATTATTTATAATACTAACCGGGTTTACCTATCTTCTCTCTTTGATTTCTAGTTTAATATATTAAATATTCCTAACATTAAAAAACCTCGCAAGCAAAAAAATTTATACTTAGATTATCTATTTATACATATATATTTTTATCAAATGTTCATAATATAAATAATTTTTATTCATATCAAATAAATCCACTTTTTTTCCCCTAAGAAATAACCTCTAATAATTCAAGTTATAAGTATCTCTATTATTTAAGGTATAGATTATTAAATTATTTAATATTATTAATGATAAATAATATATTTGTTTATCTAATATGATTAATGAGTCATAAACTAATAAAAATTATGAAAACTTACTTAAGAATAATCACTTTTAATCAAAACCTTTTATTGGAAAAATATCTTTTTATATTCCTAAACCCTCTTCTTAGCTATGCGATTAAAATTTATTTGAAATCGTTCTTAATTATTAATAGGATGATATTAGTTATTCTTCAATATTGAATTAAGAGAAATTCATTTTATAATTTAACATAATGATTAAACAAACTATGATATAAATCTTTCAAGAGATTAAAGATTCCTTTGCTTAAAATCCTTAGAGTATATTGACTTTGATGCTTGTTGTATTATAGAAAGTTATTGAATTGTTTACTGAAAAATAAAATGAGAAGATGGAACTAGTACAACGTATAATTAATCACCCAATTAAAATAATTAAAGTAGTATTTGAATAAATTTAGGAATTGAAATCAAAATTAGTTGAGTAATTTGCTTAATTGATTAATATATTAAGTAATTGGATTTTAAATCTAAAATAAATAGAAGGAAGTTATTCTCAATATAGTTTCTAGGAGTGGTTAGAAAATTTCAAACCTAATTAAGAAAACATCTCAACAATTAATAAAAATTATTATAAAAAAATTTTGTAAATTAATTAATCTTCGAAATAAAAAAGTGGTCTAAAATTATGAGATTTATTATTGATAATTAAACAGTTTAGAATTAGATTATGTGGAATATAATTAAGATATAGAAAATTTAGAATAACAAATTCATCTCAAATCTCTAATAAAAATCAAATTATTGATTAAGGATGAAAAACAAATTTTATAAGAAAAAAAATAAACTTTAAGTTAGTTGATTAATCTGTAAAGTCAAATGCTGAAAGTAATAAAATTGCTTTTAATTCTTCTGGGTCAATTATGATATAAAATGAAGAGAAAAATATTAAAGTTCAGAGATTCAATGATGGAATAATAAACCTAATAACAACTTTAACAGAACATAGTCATTGGATTCATTGTTTAATTTATAGTAAGAAGTTTAATTCTTTTATTTCAAGTTCAGGTGATAATACTATTAGATCCTGGAAATAAATAAATTTAAATGATTCGATTATTTTAAAATGTCATTAACACTAAACACATTGTGTAATGTGTTTAATCATAACTTCAAATAATGATTTGCCTTTTTCTGGAAGTACTGATAAGTTAATTATTGTATGGAAGGTAGATTTTAACAAAAAATGAATTGTTTCATATGTATTCATAAAATATACACAATACCACAGTTGTTTGATTAAGTTTAAATTAATCAGAAACTTACTGGAAAATTAATTAAAATGATTAGTTTGAATTTTAATATTTTGTTATAAATGATGAAATTTATAGAAAGTAATGATAATTTAGAATAAATGTTTATGAAAACAAATAATTGAATTAAATTTGTATATCAATTTATCTATAATAGTCGATCTAAGCAGAAGGACTAAAACCTAAGTTCTTTAAGAGGATTAGTTTATATGAATACCTGGGGGTCAAAAATTAGATTAAATCATTTGTTTTTGAATTAAAGGAAGGAATTTTTTCACAAAAATAGTAGAAGACTATTTATTTAGGGAGAAATAATAAAGTTAATGATGAATATCATTTTCCAATAATCTAAAATAAATCGAGAAAGTTTATATTAATAAGGCATAAGACATTCATTTATATTATTAGAGTAACGAAAAATTAAATGTATTAAATAGTTAATCAATAAAACTGTGATTCTTATGAAATTAATGGAATGGTTACAGATGATCGAAAATATTTAGTCTATTGAAGTAAAAACTATTCAGTATTTGAATTATTAATCATATGAATATATTACAATGGTTTTTTCTCATTATGATGGTACATTTTAGTTTAGAATGATCTCTTTATATTTTATTCAAAATCAAAAAGGGAAAGTTTTTCTGTAAGTTCTTGAGCATGAAGTATATAATTTTGAAAATATAACAGATCATCAAAATTTTGATATTTTTTTTAATTTTAAACAAAATAGTTTTATTTCTTTAGAGCCCTTCTAATGTTTAATTCTTACAACTTTTAACTTTTCCTCCATGGCTAATGGTCGAAAAAGACACCTTCATATTTAGTTTTTTTTGGATAATAATTATCAAATAATTGTAATTTTTAAAAAGGAATCTATAACTATTTTGGTGAAATTATAATATAGAAATAAATATAATTTTGAAGTTAAGCTATTCTTCGAGAAATATCTTCTTTTACTTCTGAACAATCTTTATGATGGTGTTCTGTTGTTTAGATTCTAAAAGTGGGTGGATTTTTCTCTATTGAACCTCCAGTCTGTTTAGAAGAATATATCCTATCAAAAAATATTATTTAAAATTACACAATAAATTTTTATTAACCAATCCGTCATCAAAAGGCAGAAAACTATTAAAATAAAAAATGCTTTAACTTTATAAATCCTTACTAAAAGTATGATCTCTTATAAAATTGCCATATTGTAAAACTCTAACAAAATATATATACCATCCGCTTTATTTGATGATTAAGTATTCTAAAATGTCTTATTATTTTTTTCTTGCATTTCATCTTTGAATTTGAAATCAAAATGGATCAATTGTGAAAGCTGATATGTAACAGTCATACCAGAAGATTCATTTAATTCGAGCAAATGTTATCATGTTCTGTTAAATTTTTCATTTCAAACAGGTTTTTTTTTAAGAAGAGTTCATTCAATTTTGTCGTGAAAATTTAAATTTTTAAACAAAATCAAAAAATTAATTCACATTTTTGTTGCATTTTTTTTTTATAAATAAATTTTTTCTAACTGAATGAAAAAAAAATTCAATTTATATCAATCTTGGATTATAGAAAAATAATTCAGATAATAGATTTTAGTATTGAATTTTAAATTTTTTAGCAGGACGAAAAGGCTACTTTCTAAAATTTTATTTTCATTTTGGAATTTGGGATGATAATAATAAGTAAAAATTACAAATATTCAGTCAATCATACAGTACCTCCACCCTTCATTATGAATATAGAAAACTATATCTGTCTATTAGACAAATATACTATATATAAATTTAGAATTAAGTTAATTTAATTCAAAATAATTATTAGATTTTATGATAGAAATTGAATAAATTGTAGATCTCATATCCCAAAATTTTGATAAGAAAAATGTAACAATACAAATTTATAGTAGGAATAAGATTTTATAATGGATATCTTTATTTTAGGCAGTGTATTTAAATAAAATAAGATTGAAAATTATGAATTTTTTTAATACTTTTTGAATTAAATATTGAATGTAAGATAGCAAGTGAATCTTTAAATCATTAGTACCAATAGAATAAAAAAACTATACAACGAATATTATAATAGCAATGAAGATGTAAAAATACAAATAATATTCTAATTATTAGATTATTTAATTGTACTAGCAATTGGAGATGGAAATATATGATGAACCATCCAAGATCAAAGTTAAATAAATGGAAAAAGACGAAAAAAAAAATAATATTTTACAAAATTTTTAATAGAATTAGATAGATTTTAATCTTAAATAAAAAAGCATAAAAAAAGAAAATGATAAAGTTAAAGATCTTCTATTAGAAAGTAATTAATTAGGATTCAAGGAGCACAAGTAAAATTCGTTTTTATAGAACTAGAAATTAGGCTGAAGAATAATAAAATGGTCCCAATAATTTTGAAAAAGCTCATCAGAGTTTAGATTAATAATTAAGAGATAGAGAATCACCTGAAAAATAATATTTATAAAAACACAAAGAAGAAAACATTGAAATAAAATGTTCTATATGCTTAGATGTAATAGAATATAGTTAAATCATTATCTTAAAATGTTCACATTAATTTCATCAAATGTGTATTAATCAACATTGTTTAACTTAAATTTAGTAAAGATCTTTTCCAATCAATTGCCCTATTTTGGAATGTAAATAAAGTATCGTTTACACTGATTTGAAAGACATATTAGATGACTAAGATATTTAAAAATATTAATAATTCACATTCAAATATTATGTTGAAACACATAATGACGAAGTATTTGCTATATTTATTCTAGTATTCATGGTGTCCAACTCCAGATTGTTAATACGTATTTATTGCTGGAGATATATATTTTAGTTGTCCAGTTTGTTTGAAAACATATTGTTTAAGTTGTAAGGCAGAATATCATCATAATTTGACATGCGCAGAATATTTGAAAAATTAAAAACGATAAGAACTCAATAGTGTATATCAATAAAATTAATTTACTAATAATTTAAACAAACTACAATAGAACTAGTAATAAATGATATCCTTTCAAAATCCATAATTTCCTAACCTATAAAACTAATTTTAAAATTTATCAACTGAAAAAAACTAATTTATAAAATCAAATAATTATCCAAATTTTCATTTGAATTCTTATACAAATTAGTATATTCCTCCTTAACAATAATTATAATTTGTGAATTTTTAACTTTTGTAACCAGCTTTATAAAATCCAATTGAAAAATAATAATAATAAATAATATAAATTAATTATATAGAATTTATATTAAAAAATATAATTTGTGACATGGAATAATTCTGCTCTTCTTAAGCACTTAATCTAGTTGAGATCCATCAGCAATTAAAAAGTCTTTAAGAGCTTTCTTTTCAAAATCATGGTAAATCTAACACATTAGGTTTTTGGAATGTTGAATTTCTTAAATAAAAGTTTGAATTAACTGTTACCATAATTGTCTTCTCTATAATAAATATTAAATGCCTAAATAGATTAAATAAATATTAAATTATCATTTAAAATCCTAATAAATAAAAATAATTAAATATTGACAAAAGAATGAAGAATCTATAATCCTTAATAAAAGAATTCACAAATATTTAAAGTTACGAAAAAGAAATTAGAAAAAAACACTCAGAACCCTCACATAGAATTTAAAATCATCCATCGACTCTAACTAGTATCAACCCACCAACAACATTCTCTAATTGATCTATCTAATATGGTCGATCATATTATAATCTTAATTAAATATAAGTTATAAATCATTTGTAATCATCCATTTACAAGAGAATTTGAGCCTGAAAATCTTTTTTCACCAAATTTAAGATTCTGTCAAATAGGTCCCTTTGAAATCACCTTATAAATCTGAATATGAAGAAGAATAAGATAATTAGATATTTGCATGTGAAAAATTACTTTTTAGCTTGAAAAAGTAGGATGAACTTTAAAGTTTTTAATTGGAAAATTCTCATAAATCTCTTAAAAATGAAGTAGAAACAGAAATTTTAAATCTTTTAAATCTACCTGCTCCAACATATACTCTATACTTGTCCTTAGATCTCAACTCAAAAAATAAAAAAATATTTTTCATACTTATCTATATTTAACTACTAGAAAATTTGTGAATTTCCAAAATGCATAAAAAACGAATTTTTAGATCTGTAGCAACCTCCCTTAAACTTCCTTATAGCAAAGCACACAAAAAAACTCATAAAGAAGATGAATAAGTGTAACTTTTGGTAAACCATCTTTATCGATAATTCTATTTAGATTGATGAAATAAATCACAAACTAATTCGTAAAATTCTTCAAGCAATTTTAATAATGTATTTTTTTTGTACCCTAAAATCAGAAAGACACAATAATGTAAACTTTCTTATCAACATATAATAAATTTTCATTCTTGTCTCCATATTTTGGAATTCTTAAGAAATATTTCTAGTAATAATTGGTAAATAAATTAAAAAAAATGCTAATGCAATAGATTGGAAAAAATAATTGCATAGTATATGATTGACTGATTGAGTTATCTTTTGATTAAATAGTATAATATTATAAATTACCTGATTAATAGTTTTATATTATTGAAAAAGGACAATGACCCAGTTATTTTTCAATTTAATTAATTTTATATGGAGCTAAAAGGGTTCTATTTGCGATTATAGTGAAAGTTTCTTCAGAACAGAAAATTATTTAGAATCCTATTTAATTAAATGACCCTTCATATTTTTAAATGATTTATTTCTATATTTATGCTGAAATTATTTTAAGTTATTTCTCTTATCTAAAAGAAATCTCATGTAATTTATTTAAATTGAATGGTTGAATGAACCAAATTATGCAAAGCTAATTGGAATTAAAATACATTATGATTTTAATATTCAAATATCATTTTAGGTTATAAATCATTCCAATTAAATTGGCTTATGTTTTAAAAGGCATAATTATCTCTTGCAAAAAACATTCAAATCTCAACCCCATAAACTCTTAATAAAGGACACTTATTAATCAAAAAAAGTAAATTTATTATTTTTTTATTAAATTTTAGATATATATGATGAAGGTTAAAATTAGTTGGCATAAAAATTATGAGCCAATCTGTAAATTTGTTTTATTGAAATAGCTTAATCAAAAAATATGAATATAGTAAATTGGAAGGAAGCAAGCAAAATTTAATATATTAAAAATATATATAAAATATGTTCTATTAAATTATCAATTATCAAATTTCGCAAAAAAAAGTCTGTTATAATAATGACTAATAACAGAATATGTTAAAACTTAAAAATTGCTATGTCTCTAAAAAAAACTACAATTTTCAGACATTAAGAAAAATTAAATTTGAAAAATCAAATTTGGATATGCTTCAATTAGGAATTAACTAGAATAATTCAATATTATCTCAAATGACTACAAAGTGTTATCTTCCTTCCATTTCTTTCTTCAAGCTCTCATTTATTCTTAGGTAAAGCTAAATACTTTTAGACTGTTAAATGCACAATTTAGTTATAAAATAATAGGATAAAATGGAATATATATTTTTGATTTTTACAATGTTTTCATTATTATAAATAAAAAAAAAATACCAATGTTATTATAAATAACACCTATCAAATATATCTAAATTATTATGAGTAAATCTTGGATTAAATTGATAATATTTATTACAAAGATAAGTTACTCAATATGAAATTAAGGAATTGACTTCAAAAATTATCAACATTAAATTAAAGCAATTAATCAAAAATATAGAATAATACCCAAGAAGTACGAGAATAGAAATATGAATGAAGCTGTCTTGTTGAATAGAAATAATTAAAAAAAAACAAATAAGAAAAAGGCATTTAGTCTAATTCCTTAGATGTTAGAAACTTCTATAGCTAATCAAACTAAACTATAAAAAAATTTTTAATTTGAAGAATAAAAAATTAAAATTACAATTTTTTTATTTTTAAATGAATCAAATATAGACGGTAAAATAAGTTTTTAAAAATTAAACATATTCACCTGACCTTAATCAATCATGATTCAGAATAGGTACTAAAATTAACCTATCAATTAAATGAACATAGAGAATTACGAAAAGTTTAGGATTTGAATACTTATGAATGACACAACTAAATGCTATAAAAGATCATTTGAAAAAAATTAAATTATTGGTTAGATAAAAATATGGCACTCCTCTTAAAATTCTACAAGCAGTTTCCTAATATCTAGGGAAGATGATTCTGTGATATTTTTATGACACAATAAGCATTATTACAAAAAATATATTTCAAATAAAAAATGTTATTTATCTGGACTAAAATAAATTGATTATTGTTCACTTTAATATACTTGTTATTTCTTTGTTAAAAATTTGTTTTTTCTTAAATCTTTAGGGTTAGATAAGATAAATGTATAAACACTTCGATTAGAAAATCTTGGCCTTTCAATAATTTTGGTAGGTGATACGAAATATAAATTCCAACGACTCAAATGCTTACTTCTTTAGGTAAATTATGCATATTATATTAAGCTCCTCTTGTATTCAATAAGCATTATTGAAAACAACAATTTACAACATTTTTAACTCAACTAATAAAATCTTTATAAGTTTTTCATTTCATATCCATAAGTTCCATGAGGAGCAGCATAATTTTAACTTAAATATAAAAACAAACCAACTTTATACTCCTAATTAAATGATATTTGTGATTTAATTATGCAATACTGTATTTAAAAGGAAAATATTACAATCGAATTATTTATTCATCTTCAGATGAAGGATTATTTCAATTATAAGCATCTTTTAATTTAAAACTTGAACCCACTGTGATATCATTGATAATTTTGAACGTTTACTTGCTCCATATTTGAGCTTATATTATTACTTTTTTTTATTTGGATTGAATGATTCTGTAATAATTTATTTTATTACAAAAAGCAACTATTTTTTTTCTCATATGATTTTTGTGAACTAGAAACTTATGACAAAATATTAGTTTAATGTAATATTGTATTAGGTTACATGAAAATTTGTATTATTTAATCACAACCAATAATTATTTTCTTCATTCTTTGTTAAATTTAATGACAATTCATTTATCTTGTTTCTAATATTAATACTTATATTAGAGCAAAATGAAATGAAAAATCGGNAGAAATATGAATGAAGCTGTCTTGTTGAATAGAAATAATTAAAAAAAAACAAATAAGAAAAAGGCATTTAGTCTAATTCCTTAGATGTTAGAAACTTCTATAGCTAATCAAACTAAACTATAAAAAAATTTTTAATTTGAAGAATAAAAAATTAAAATTACAATTTTTTTATTTTTAAATGAATCAAATATAGACGGTAAAATAAGTTTTTAAAAATTAAACATATTCACCTGACCTTAATCAATCATGATTCAGAATAGGTACTAAAATTAACCTATCAATTAAATGAACATAGAGAATTACGAAAAGTTTAGGATTTGAATACTTATGAATGACACAACTAAATGCTATAAAAGATCATTTGAAAAAAATTAAATTATTGGTTAGATAAAAATATGGCACTCCTCTTAAAATTCTACAAGCAGTTTCCTAATATCTAGGGAAGATGATTCTGTGATATTTTTATGACACAATAAGCATTATTACAAAAAATATATTTCAAATAAAAAATGTTATTTATCTGGACTAAAATAAATTGATTATTGTTCACTTTAATATACTTGTTATTTCTTTGTTAAAAATTTGTTTTTTCTTAAATCTTTAGGGTTAGATAAGATAAATGTATAAACACTTCGATTAGAAAATCTTGGCCTTTCAATAATTTTGGTAGGTGATACGAAATATAAATTCCAACGACTCAAATGCTTACTTCTTTAGGTAAATTATGCATATTATATTAAGCTCCTCTTGTATTCAATAAGCATTATTGAAAACAACAATTTACAACATTTTTAACTCAACTAATAAAATCTTTATAAGTTTTTCATTTCATATCCATAAGTTCCATGAGGAGCAGCATAATTTTAACTTAAATATAAAAACAAACCAACTTTATACTCCTAATTAAATGATATTTGTGATTTAATTATGCAATACTGTATTTAAAAGGAAAATATTACAATCGAATTATTTATTCATCTTCAGATGAAGGATTATTTCAATTATAAGCATCTTTTAATTTAAAACTTGAACCCACTGTGATATCATTGATAATTTTGAACGTTTACTTGCTCCATATTTGAGCTTATATTATTACTTTTTTTTATTTGGATTGAATGATTCTGTAATAATTTATTTTATTACAAAAAGCAACTATTTTTTTTCTCATATGATTTTTGTGAACTAGAAACTTATGACAAAATATTAGTTTAATGTAATATTGTATTAGGTTACATGAAAATTTGTATTATTTAATCACAACCAATAATTATTTTCTTCATTCTTTGTTAAATTTAATGACAATTCATTTATCTTGTTTCTAATATTAATACTTATATTAGAGCAAAATGAAATGAAAAATCGGTAACGCCTGCATCTAAAATCTTAAGGTCATTCAATATTAAATAATTAGATTAAATTAGAATTCTTCATTCTTTTAACAAATATAATTCTTATTGTCTGGCTCTGTTGTGCTTACCTTACACTTATTGAAGAGTTTCTATTTCAAAATAGATTTTGTTAGAAAAAATTAACTAAATGATAAATGCTTGATTATATCATCCGTTATTCATTAAAAAAGCCTAATTTTTCATTTTAACTTTTACTATAATCTAATATTTCAATTTGAGAATTATATATTTGATTTGAATTTAATTTTTAAATATTAATGGTAATTACATTCACTATATAATATTTTTATGAATATTAATATTAATAATAAATGACTAAATTACCCTTTTGAATATTTGATCTTACTTTTACTTTCTTTATAACTAATGAAATTTTAAAATTTATTTTTTAATTGATTAATTTCATATATATTTTATTCAAATTAATTGTATATAAATTATTTAAATGACATGGATTAGAAACTAGTAATTAATTTATTTATCAACATACATTAAATTATTTAATATTTATTTTTGATATGAAAAAGATTTTACCACTCCTTCGGATGCCATTAAAAGCAAACTTAAATTGATCTTAAAGTTATGCTAATCATATTTGTCAACACCTTTTTCATTTTTAAAGGTGAATTCGTTAGAGTACTAAAATAACTAGATGTCCTAAAATATTCCGCATAGTCAATTTTTTCAAAATCTACACCAAGCAATCGAAATTCATTTTGAGTCTTAACAATTATCCAAATTATTATGTTAAAAAGTTTCAAGAGTCATAAGGATAAACTATTGCAGAATAATTTTTTTATTTCAATTCTGATCTAAATAACGCAAGTAAATAGGTTGATTTACAAGACCCCCCCCTAAAGATTAAATCAATCATATTTTTGTGTATTTTTTGATATCTACTTATAGTAGTACTAATAATAAATGAATTTTCTATAATTTTAACTTTTATTGGTGAATCATTGCCATTAAGTTGGAAAAAACTTTAATTGGAATTTATATTTTAATTTATCGATTACAAAATTTCTATTTTTTCATAAATTTTTTTCTAGAATTAATATTTTGAAAAATTTGTATAATCAACCATGATAATTTAATTACATCCGATATTTAGAACCATTAAAAGAAATATCAGTTTTATGAGAAATAAAGTCAGCATTCATTATGTTAGAGTCAATAATTTGGTGTTTAAAATGCTTGTTCAACTTGATTCAAATTTATTGAATTTTGTATAGGCAATTATCACACAACAATCAAGACAAGTACTAAAATGAAATTATTTTTTCTTGAATACCATTTAATTAAAAGAATTAAATTATTTAATATAAGTATTATAATGTAAGAAAGAAAAATTTGGAAATTATTATTTGAATTCTGCCTTGCTATAGTATTGGCAAAAAGTTGAAAAGATAATAATTAGAATTACATAATGGAAAGATACTGACATCCTATTAAAAGGAAAATCAAACATTGTGTTGATTGTTTTTATAGTGGAAAAATGATATACCTAAATGAAAACCATGTAAGATTTAAATGTTTTATTAGAGGAAGCAACTTTGTGTTCAGCATTACAAAAAGAGCAACCCTTTAAATTAATTTAGAACATATCATTTTGAAATTAATAAAGATATAAAATCAAAAAAAAGAAGAATTTAATTAAAATTAATAGCCTAATAAGCCATCTTTCCAGAATTAATTAATGAAAAAAATAATACAAAAGAAGATGGTTATATTTATTTTAAATGAGATTAGATATAATATATTAATTAAAAAATATCGGACATTATTCTTGGATAACAATGATGTAATTAAGTGCTAATGACTTAAACTAAAAAATAGGTGTAGGCGACTATAAAAAACATAAATTACTTAAGGCTTACATTCCTAATATTCTTCAATTAATAAGACTCAACAATTACTAAAGACTCATTCAAGAATAAAATACTCAAAGGATTAATTAAAGTAGGAAATTTATGCGATTACAAGGTGAAAATAAAATATACAAAGTCATCCACAACAAGTTTTAAAAAATTACAAGACTAAATAAAAAAAAATAATGTAAGTTCAATAATTCTCAATAATAAGTGAGAATATTAAGTTAGGAAATTTAAGTTGAAAAGAAGGATTCAGAAATGTTAAATCACGTTGATGTCCCATAATATTAGTTAAGCAGAGGTATATTTCTGATTTGTAATGTTCAGGATTATCTTTATTTAATAACAATATGTTTGAAAAAGTTTTGGAATATTATAATTCAGCTATTCAGATTAACCCTGAAAATGCTGAATATTATAATGGCAAAGGTAAAATAGAAATTAAATGTTTACATAGCTATAACTTTAAAACAAATGAATCGATATGAAGAGGCATTGGAAAATTACAATCTAGCAATTCAGAAAAACCCTGAAAATGCTGAATATTATAATGGCAAAGGTAAAATTGAAATTGAATGTTTACATAGCAATAACATTAAGACAAATGAAGAGATATGAAGAAGCATTGATATCTTATAATTCAGCTATACAATTAAACCCTCAAAGTTCAACTTATTAGTATCATAAAGGTATTAAAATAATTGCAAACTAATAGCTGATATTTTAGAGAAACTGAATAGATTTGAAGAATCATTGGAATATTATAATTCAGCTCTTCAGAAAAACCCTGAAAATGCTGATTATTATAATGGCAAAGGTAAAATAAAAATTGAATGTTTACATAGCTATAACTTTAAAACAAATGGATCGATATGAAGAGGCATTGGAAAATTACAATCTAGCAATACAGAAAAACCCTGAAAATGCTGAATATTATAATGGCAAAGGTAAAATAGAAATTGAATGTTTACATAGCAATAACATTAAGACAAATGAAGAGATATGAAGAAGCATTGATATCTTATAATTCAGCTATACAATTAAACCCTCAAAGTTCAACTTATTAGTATCATAAAGGTATTAAAATAATTGCAAACTAATAGCTGATATTTTAGAGAAACTGAATAGATTTGAAGAATCATTGGAATATTATAATTCAGCTCTTCAGAAAAACCCTGAAAATGCTGATTATTATAATGGCAAAGGTAAAATAAAAATTGAATGTTTACATAGCTATAACTTTAAAACAAATGGATCGATATGAAGAGGCATTGGAAAATTACAATCTAGCAATACAGAAAAACCCTGAAAATGCTGAATATTATAATGGCAAAGGTAAAATAGAAATTGAATGTTTACATAGCAATAACATTAAGACAAATGAAGAGATATGAAGAAGCATTGATATCTTATAATTCAGCTATACAATTAAACCCTCAAAGTTCAACTTATTAGTATCATAAAGGTATTAAAATAATTGCAAACTAATAGCTGATATTTTAGAGAAACTGAATAGATTTGAAGAATCATTGGAATATTATAATTCAGCTCTTCAGAAAAACCCTGAAAATGCTGATTATTATAATGGCAAAGGTAAAATAAAAATTAAATGTTTACATAGCTATAACTTTAAAACAAATGGATCGATATGAAGAGGCATTGGAAAATTACAATCTAGCAATACAGAAAAACCCTGAAAATGCTGAATATTATAATGGCAAAGGTAAAATAGAAATTGAATGTTTACATAGCAATAACATTAAGACAAATGAAGAGATATGAAGAAGCATTGATATCTTATAATTCAGCTATACAATTAAACCCTCAAAGTTCAACTTATTAGTATCATAAAGGTATTAAAATAATTGCAAACTAATAGCTGATATTTTAGAGAAACTGAATAGATTTGAAGAATCATTGGAATATTATAATTCAGCTCTTCAGAAAAACCCTGAAAATGCTGATTATTATAATGGCAAAGGTAAAATAAAAATTAAATGTTTACATAGCTATAACTTTAAAACAAATGGATCGATATGAAGAGGCATTGGAAAATTACAATCTAGCAATACAGAAAAACCCTGAAAATGCTGAATATTATAATGGCAAAGGTAAAATAGAAATTGAATGTTTACATAGCAATAACATTAAGACAAATGAAGAGATATGAAGAAGCATTGATATCTTATAATTCAGCTATACAATTAAACCCTCAAAGTTCAACTTATTAGTATCATAAAGGTATTAAAATAATTGCAAACTAATAGCTGATATTTTAGAGAAACTGAATAGATTTGATGAATCATTGGAATATTATAAATCAGCTATTCAGAAAAACCCTGAAAATGCTGAATATTATAATGGCAAAGGTAAAATAGAATTTGAATGTTTATATAGCAATAACTTTAAATCAAATGAATAGATATGAAGAGGCATTGGAAAATTACAATCTAGCAATTCAGAAAAACCCTGAGAATGCTGAATATTATAATGGCAAAGGTAAAATAGAAATTGAATGTTAATCAAGCAATAACTTTAAAAATATTAAAGAGATATTCAGAAACATTGTCTATTTATGATTCATCTATTTAGAAAAACCCAAAAGAAGCAAAATTTTATTTTTAAAAAGGTATATATATATGCATAAATTCATTTTAGCTAATACATTAAACTAAATGAATAGATATGAAGAAGCATTACTATATTATGATCTAGCTATTTAAAGAAACTCAAAAGATTCTTAATATTACATATGCAAAGGTCTAAATAAAACTCTATACTAATAGCAAATACTTTATATGATATGAATAGATATCATAAAGCTTAGGAATAATATGAATTAGCAATCCAGATTAACCCAGAAGATGCAGATATTTATTTATGCAAAGGCAATATACATAAATTTTTAAATTAATAGCAAATAACTTATATAATATGAATAGATATGAAGAAGCTTTGGAATAATATGACTTAGCCATTTAGAAAAACTCTGAAGATGCAGATTATTATAAATGCAAAGGTTGAAATTAATTTCTAAACTTGATAGCGAATAATTTACATAAAATGTTTCGATTTAAAGAAGCATTGGAATCTTACGATTTAGCTATTTAGAAAAATCCAGATGATGCAGAATTTTATTATGAAAAAGGTATGGCTTTTTATTTAGCTATAATATTAGCAAATACTTTAGATGAAATGAATAGATTAGAAGAAGCATTGGATAATTATGATTTAGCCATTTAGAAAAACCCAGAATAAGCAGATTATTTCAAATGTAAAGGTACCAATAGTAATAATTATTATAGCTATCATTTTAGATAAAATGAAGAGATTTTAAGAAGCATTAGATTATTATGATTTAGCTATTAAGAAAGATCCAGATGATGCAGAATTTTATTATGAAAAAGGTATGGCTTTTTATTTAGCTATAATATTAGCAAATACTTTAGATGAAATGAATAGATTAGAAGAAGCATTGGATAATTATGATTTAGCCATTTAGAAAAACCCAGAATAAGCAGATTATTTCAAATGTAAAGGTACCAATAGTAATAATTATTATAGCTATCATTTTAGATAAAATGAAGAGATTTTAAGAAGCATTAGATTATTATGATTTAGCTATTAAGAAAGATCCAGATGATGCAGAATTTTATTATGAAAAAGGTATGGCTTTTTATTTAGCTATAATATTAGCAAATACTTTAGATGAAATGAATAGATTAGAAGAAGCATTGGATAATTATGATTTAGCCATTTAGAAAAACCCAGAATAAGCAGATTATTTCAAATGTAAAGGTACCAATAGTAATAATTATTATAGCTATCATTTTAGATAAAATGAAGAGATTTTAAGAAGCATTAGATTATTATGATTTAGCTATTAAGAAAGATCCAGATGATGCAGAATTTTATTATGAAAAAGGTATGGCTTTTTATTTAGCTATAATATTAGCAAATACTTTAGATGAAATGAATAGATTAGAAGAAGCATTGGATAATTATGATTTAGCCATTTAGAAAAACCCAGAATAAGCAGATTATTTCAAATGTAAAGGTACCAATAGTAATAATTATTATAGCTATCATTTTAGATAAAATGAAGAGATTTTAAGAAGCATTAGATTATTATGATTTAGCTATTAAGAAAGATCCAGATGATGCAGAATTTTATTATGAAAAAGGTATGGCTTTTTATTTAGCTATAATATTAGCAAATACTTTAGATGAAATGAATAGATTAGAAGAAGCATTGGATAATTATGATTTAGCCATTTAGAAAAACCCAGAATAAGCAGATTATTTCAAATGTAAAGGTACCAATAGTAATAATTATTATAGCTATCATTTTAGATAAAATGAAGAGATTTTAAGAAGCATTAGATTATTATGATTTAGCTATTAAGAAAGATCCAGATGATGCAGAATTTTATTATGAAAAAGGTATGGCTTTTTATTTAGCTATAATATTAGCAAATACTTTAGATGAAATGAATAGATTAGAAGAAGCATTGGATAATTATGATTTAGCCATTTAGAAAAACCCAGAATAAGCAGATTATTTCAAATGTAAAGGTACCAATAGTAATAATTATTATAGCTATCATTTTAGATAAAATGAAGAGATTTTAAGAAGCATTAGATTATTATGATTTAGCTATTAAGAAAGATCCAGATGATGCAGAATTTTATTATGAAAAAGGTATGGCTTTTTATTTAGCTATAATATTAGCAAATACTTTAGATGAAATGAATAGATTAGAAGAAGCATTGGATAATTATGATTTAGCCATTTAGAAAAACCCAGAATAAGCAGATTATTTCAAATGTAAAGGTACCAATAGTAATAATTATTATAGCTATCATTTTAGATAAAATGAAGAGATTTTAAGAAGCATTAGATTATTATGATTTAGCTATTAAGAAAGATCCAGATGATGCAGAATTTTATTATGAAAAAGGTATGGCTTTTTATTTAGCTATAATATTAGCAAATACTTTAGATGAAATGAATAGATTAGAAGAAGCATTGGATAATTATGATTTAGCCATTTAGAAAAACCCAGAATAAGCAGATTATTTCAAATGTAAAGGTACCAATAGTAATAATTATTATAGCTATCATTTTAGATAAAATGAAGAGATTTTAAGAAGCATTAGATTATTATGATTTAGCTATTAAGAAAGATCCAGATGATGCAGAATTTTATTATGAAAAAGGTATGGCTTTTTATTTAGCTATAATATTAGCAAATACTTTAGATGAAATGAATAGATTAGAAGAAGCATTGGATAATTATGATTTAGCCATTTAGAAAAACCCAGAATAAGCAGATTATTTCAAATGTAAAGGTACCAATAGTAATAATTATTATAGCTATCATTTTAGATAAAATGAAGAGATTTTAAGAAGCATTAGATTATTATGATTTAGCTATTAAGAAAGATCCAGATGATGCAGAATTTTATTATGAAAAAGGTATGGCTTTTTATTTAGCTATAATATTAGCAAATACTTTAGATGAAATGAATAGATTAGAAGAAGCATTGGATAATTATGATTTAGCCATTTAGAAAAACCCAGAATAAGCAGATTATTTCAAATGTAAAGGTACCAATAGTAATAATTATTATAGCTATCATTTTAGATAAAATGAAGAGATTTTAAGAAGCATTAGATTATTATGATTTAGCTATTAAGAAAGATCCAGATGATGCAGAATTTTATTATGAAAAAGGTATGGCTTTTTATTTAGCTATAATATTAGCAAATACTTTAGATGAAATGAATAGATTAGAAGAAGCATTGGATAATTATGATTTAGCCATTTAGAAAAACCCAGAATAAGCAGATTATTTCAAATGTAAAGGTACCAATAGTAATAATTATTATAGCTATCATTTTAGATAAAATGAAGAGATTTTAAGAAGCATTAGATTATTATGATTTAGCTATTAAGAAAGATCCAGATGATGCAGAATTTTATTATGAAAAAGGTATGGCTTTTTATTTAGCTATAATATTAGCAAATACTTTAGATGAAATGAATAGATTAGAAGAAGCATTGGATAATTATGATTTAGCCATTTAGAAAAACCCAGAATAAGCAGATTATTTCAAATGTAAAGGTACCAATAGTAATAATTATTATAGCTATCATTTTAGATAAAATGAAGAGATTTTAAGAAGCATTAGATTATTATGATTTAGCTATTAAGAAAGATCCAGATGATGCAGAATTTTATTATGAAAAAGGTATGGCTTTTTATTTAGCTATAATATTAGCAAATACTTTAGATGAAATGAATAGATTAGAAGAAGCATTGGATAATTATGATTTAGCCATTTAGAAAAACCCAGAATAAGCAGATTATTTCAAATGTAAAGGTACCAATAGTAATAATTATTATAGCTATCATTTTAGATAAAATGAAGAGATTTTAAGAAGCATTAGATTATTATGATTTAGCTATTAAGAAAGATCCAGATGATGCAGAATTTTATTATGAAAAAGGTATGGCTTTTTATTTAGCTATAATATTAGCAAATACTTTAGATGAAATGAATAGATTAGAAGAAGCATTGGATAATTATGATTTAGCCATTTAGAAAAACCCAGAATAAGCAGATTATTTCAAATGTAAAGGTACCAATAGTAATTCATAATTGTTATAGCTATCATTTTAGATAAAATGAAGAGATTTTAAGAAGCATTAGACTATTATGATTTAGCTATTAAGATAAATCCAGATGATGCAGAATATTTCAAATTGGAGGGTAAAAATTCAAATTTACAATTTTTATAGCTATTACCTTAGAGAATTTGAATAGATATTAAGAAGCGTTGGATAATTATGAGTTAGCCATTTAGAAAAACCCAGAATAAGCAGATTATTTCAAATGTAAAGGTATCCATAGTAATCTATAATTGTTATAGCTATCGCGTTAGATAAAATGAAGAGATTTCAAGAAGCATTAGACTATTATGATTTAGCTCTTAAGATAAATCCAGATGACGCAGACTATATTAAATCCAAAGGTAAAAATTCAAATCTACAATTTTTATAGCTATTACTTTAGAGAATTTGAATAGATATTAAGAAGTGTTGGATAATTATGAGTTAGCCATTTAGAAAAACCCAGAAAAAGGAGATCATTTCAGATGTAAAAGTAAATTAAATAAAATTGTTTACATAGCAATAACTAAATTTCAGAAATCATATAATATTAAAAAAATGAATAGCTAATAAGAAGATTTGGATAGAAATACATTTCTTCAATATCAATCATCAATAAAAAATATGTACAATCAAATGGCTTCATCAAATCCAAAGATTATAAATAGCCTTAAAAAATCTGCCAAAAGTAGAATATATCACACTCATATAATAGGAAAGATTGTAAAAAAAATGAATAGATATTTAAGAAGCATTGGAAAATTAAGATATTCATTCCATAAAATAATTTGACATAATAAATTATTATAAGTAATCATTTATTAACTATTTATTGATAATTTATTAATTCTTTAATTTTTTAATATTTTAGAATGGTTTGCCCTATTTATATCTAACAGCTCAAAGTCCTTTCTTCCAAAGACTAGTTTACTAGTGATTAATGGAAATATAAAGAGATTCGATTCAACTGTTTACAGAATATAGTCAGAATTGAATATATAAGATTTAGCAGAACTAGCAACTTATATTTATTATAGTTAGAAATATTATTTATTTTAGCAATTACAATTCAATTATTTCTCCAGAAAACCCTAACCTATTTATTTTATATATATATCTAAATTTCAACCTCTTTGATTTATTTAAGCTTTATTAATACAGAAAACATATTCGCGTTCAAATTGATTATTTCGAAAAATAGTCTTTGTAATGGTTTTTTCGTTTTTTAATTAATTATCAAAAACTTTTGTACGCTCATTAAAAATTAATGGATTTGGTTCCTTTCAAATTTTAGGAAAATACCCACTTATCTAGAGGGTGATTGCCCAATTGTTCTTGCCTTTTTTTTCATGTTTTTTAATTTCCAATGTTGCAATTTATCTTATACTGTTTTCAGTTGGGGGTATGAATGATTCGAAACAGTTGAATCTACTGAAAAGGTGATTTTTTGCTACCTGATTCTAAAATAATTAGAGATTTGAGGAGAAAAGAGATTTGAGTGGTAAATTTGGATAAAATGAATTCGCATTATTTGCTAATGTTTTAAGCTTTGAGCTTTTAGGAATTAAAAAATTTTTATTAATTTGTTTATTTAAAAAAGAAATTATTTTTTCTTGATTTTAAATAATTTAATGAAATCTCTTATTTTGATTATAAAATCTTATTTTTTAATGAAATATCTTTCTTTCTATTGTAATGAAAAATTGCTTTCGAATTTTCGTTGAAACTATACAATAATAACCCTAAAATTGAAAAAAATTCAAAAGACAAGGAACACATCATTCTTAAGGAAATAACAATAAAAATTTGGAAAATTAAGTGAAGATGGAGTTTAGATAAAATTTAGGAGTTGATGGAAAAAAAATACCTCTACTCTCCCAAGTATGGTAGGTGTACATCCCTTTATGTCGGATAAAAATAGTGATTTTGGGTTTTTGGATATTTTTTGCATATACAAAATTGTGTGTTAGAACGAAATTTTAATGTTATAAAATCATGAAAAATCATACTATTTTAAAAATTATTTGTATAAAAACATTAAAAGTCTTCCTTTATAAAATCAATACATATATTATCTTAGTAGAATTACTATAAATAGATTTAAGATTCAGATAGTAGATAACTATTTAGTTCCTCTTCAAATTGGTCATATTCCTATGTTAATTAAAAATCATGAAATTGTAGATGGGAAAAATTCCATCCTTCTCTGCATTTACACATTCTCCATGAGTATTGGTATCTATCTAGATAACCCTTATTTGGTATATATTT